GGAAAACAAAAAGATATTTACATTACAATTCATAACAGTAGCAAAATTACAGTTATAGAATAGCAACGAAAATCATTTTATGGTTGGGGGTCACCACAACATGAGGAACTGTATTAAGGGGTCGCGGCATTTGGAAGGTTGAGAACCACTGCTTTAACTAAACCTTTCAAACTGTGTTTGTCCGGCTGTTTGGTCTCTCGGTGTGTCAGCCAACACGTGTGAGCACCATCAAGTGTCCATGTAGCATAGTCATTTCCTTTTTACCACCATAGCTTCACTTGTCTGGCATCAATGTCCTTCCTTGTATGATCTACCACCTATCCCAAAGAGAAGTGACTTTGTGAATGTTCTTATTGTAGCAGTTTTTAACGGAAAGGCCCGCACCCTCTTATTTCCCTAGGGTGGGGGTGACTCCCAATTACCCTCTCTTCTGTCCCCTCCTGCCCCAGTGTCCCCTCAGGTGCTGTAACCAGGGGAGTTGGCACATGAGATGCGCTCTGCAGTTGGATCGGGAGCCTTGACTGTGAACCTGACTTTATTTCTGACTTTTTCTTTAGGATGGAGATATTCTAGCCTCCAACTTCTCTGTTGACACACAAGTTGCATACATTCTAAGCCTGGGAGTAGTGAAGGAATTCAGGAAGCACGGCATAGGTAAGGGGCGGCTGAGCTCATGGTTTTTGGTATGTACACCCCACCCACCCACGTCCAGTCACTTCCCGCATCCTGATGATTCTCACTCATCAATATACCTTCGTCTCTTCCTCTACCTCTCCTCCCTCTGTCTTGGGTCAGACCTTCATCCTCTCTTCCCTGCAGGTCTCGTGGCCCACCCCCACCCCACTGACCTTCAGCTCATGCTCTTTCCACACATTGCCAGGTCTTTCTGCCCAGGCATCATTCCCAAATCTGATGAGATCGGATTATTAACGGCTCCCAAACGTCCTCGTTAGAGAATGAGCACCTCTTACCATGCCTGCCACTACACACACATCTTATATGTGTGGTCACAAGTATTGTTGATTAAGAGTAGAAAACATAATTGAAGAAATAGTCCTAGCTGCCATGTATTAGATGCCCATCACATCCGGGGTGCTGTGCCACCCACCTGTATGTCTCCAAATTCCCATCCCACTCAGCCACACAGCCAGCAAATGACAGCATCTTCATTGTAACCCAGGCCTGTCCATTCCACACTTTCCTGGGTTCAGGTTTATACTTTTTGTTTTCTGAAAGGTTAGTGAGTCTCCGCTGTGGGTCCAGTCCCTGGGAAGGAGCTATGCAGCCTATATCTGTGGTCCTAGACCCCCGATGGTCTGCGGCCCCATCTGGCTGTGGGATTTTAGGAACTTTGACAGTGGGTGGTTATGGGAGGTTGGTCTTTGATACAGTGGCAGAGATGCCTGTAGAGAGATCTCTGTGAAGGTCACTTCCTTGTCTGCCTCATGCTTCCTTCCTACCTGCCATACCATGCATGCATTACCATCGCCTCTTTGCCCACAGGTTCCCTTTTACTTGAGACTTTGAAGGATCACATATCCACCACCGCCCAGGACCACTGCAAAGCCATCTACCTGCACGTCCTCACCACTAACAACACAGCAATAAACTTTTATGAAAATAGAGACTTTAAGCAGCACCACTATCTCCCCTACTACTACTCCATCCGTGGGGTCCTCAAAGATGGCTTCACCTACGTCCTCTACATCAATGGTGGCCACCCTCCTTGGACCATCCTATATCCTTTTCTTCTCAATGGTGAGGGACTATGGCTTCCTAGCAGGGCCTGTGTGCCAGCAGGAGCCATGGTCGCCTTCAGATGTTCACGAGGCCAAGCTCACAGGATACATTTTCCCCTGACCAGATGGTGGTGTGGGTAGATCTGGTCTGCATGTCTTGGGAAAGCAGACATGCTCTGGCAATTGGTGTTCTCCAGGTTTCAGCCCAGTGTGAGGGGTGGGTTTTAACCCTCCTGGCCCAAGCTCTGTCCATCCATCCCTCCATTGATTCAGCCAATAAGTATTGGTTGAGATCCTCCTGTTCACAGTGCATGGGGGCAACACCAGCGAACAAAACAGACAGAAGCCACTGCCCTAATGGGACCTGTGTGCTGGCAGGGGAGGAAGCAAACAGGTGTCGTGAAAAGAGTTGTTTTTTGTTTTCAACTCTTGGGTTCAAACCTTCCATACCAGGGTGTGGGGTATGCGACCCAGAGGCATGTCCCTTCCCTGCTCCCTCTCCTTTAACTCTCTGGCCCTTGATACAAAGGAGGGAGGCCAGGAGACTTCCTAATAGTCATAGGGTGTGACCCAGAATGTGTGTGTGTGTGTGTGTGTGTGTGTGTGTGTGAGAGAGAGAGAGAGAGAGAAAGAGATTAAATGAATGAATCTAGGATTTATCCATTTCATAGGGAAATAAACGGGAAAGAGAAAGATAGCACAAGAGCCCTCAGGCCTCCAAGCTCATGTGAAGATGGGTCTCTGTGGTGTCCAAGTGTTCAGCACTGTTGACCCCTGTGTGTCACAGGGGCAAGGCCCTGCCCCTCTGGGGATTGAGAGTAGGGGGAGGACCAGGAATACTTGCTCTTCTGCCAGACTCCTCCTCCCAGCACCCATTCCATTAGCCTGAATCTGGGCATCCATGTACCTGAGGCCTCACCTGGAAGGCCTTTTTTTTTTTTTTTNTTTTATTTTTTCCAGTAGGGGTTTACACATTACATTTGGTTGTAAGTCTTCTTGTCTCTTTTAGTCTGCTTTTGTTTTTTTAATGACATTGATTATTTGAAGAGACCAGGCCAGTTGTCTTGTGGAAATTCACCATTCTGTATTTGTCAGATGTCATGGTGTTGTTGAACATAGGCCTGTGTGCTGGGTATTATCTATAGTTGTGAAGTTGGGTCTGGAGACACAATTGGCTGCAGGCCCAGCATTTTAGGTGGGAACCTGAGGGCTTTGTACACTTGGCACTGGTCAGGGAGGCTGGGCTTTATCACTGGAGGAAGTATGACAGCGGGATCTCAAGATTGAAAGGTTATGCGTTTCCTTGGTGATTGGTAAGTCCCAGGGGTGAAGGTGCTTTGCCTCCATGCCTCAAACCTGCCCCCTAGCACCCTCCACGGGGTGGTTAAAAGCCTCTGATGAATCTTGCTTGTCTGGGTTATTTCATCAGTAGTTCCAAAGTGGTGCCTTTCCAATGATATCATTATTTCTACTTTTATTGGCTATTGTTCTTATATAGAAAGAATTTTTTCTCAGCCATTGAGGGTGAACTGCATAGTTCCTCCTAAAAAGATGGGGATAAATGCATGATCCTTTGCCTTTCGTCACCAGCTTTCAACATAAAGAATAAAGGCTCCTGTGTTCCCTTTGTCAGAGTCTAAAACTTGGCCTTGCTTCCTGCCTTCTTTTAACTGGAACAAGGGCAGCTGCTTCATCAGGAACCTGAACTGAACATAGTTTTCTGATTTAAGACAGTTGTCAGCAACTCCTGACCCGATTTGAATTTGTGGTGTCTCGCAGTGTCTATTTTTTTCGCTCACGAGTCTTCATCTGCTGGATAGGGCAGGAGAAATGACCCACCCAGCAAGCGCTACTTCTGGAAACCCGCCCTGGCCGCTTTGAAGGGGACTGAGGCCTGGGGCTGCTGAGCCACATCTGCTATTGGTGGCCACTAACCCAAGTAGGGAGAAGCCAGGCTGGCGGGACCATGTGCTTTATGCAGTGGAGAGACAGTGACACGAGGGAAACAGAAGACTGGCCAAGAAGGAGTGGCACTCAGAGGGGCAGAGAGGAAGGAGAGAGAAAACTGGCCAGGGACAGGCTGACCTCGGGGGCTCAGGAGCATCCCCTGTGAGCAGCAAGGGGACCCTGGGTCACTATCCTGCCAGCCCTTCCCAAGCCTCAGTTTCCTTGTCTGCAACATGGGGCAA